TGCACTTCCGGTTCTTTTGTTTTTTGGGCAGGGCTCTGTTTTTATTTAATGGGTGCAGCTCTCTGGGCCAGTGCCTGCTTCTACTCACAGATCTGTACAGTGGCTTTGACATGAAGTCTTGCTCATTACTTACAGATGGGCTGTCTGACATGAAACTGTAATAGCTTCCATATGACGAGGGCACAGTATATATTTTAAGACATATTTCAACCCATCGAGCTCTCACCGTGGACTGAGTCATGGAGATGTACTGTGAAATGGCCAGACTTACACTGTAGTGATGGTGAAATACAAATCCCTGGAGGAAATCCAAGAGCTATTTCACATTCTAAGGCTGAACAAATAAGCAAATCAACTGTAGTTTGGTAGTGCTCAAAATTATTGTTAGATTATCAGGGAAAATTAGAATAGAAGTGTTTTTAATGAAGCTTTAGTTCAAGTAATTCGACCACTGGGTCACTTTTTTCCTCTTTTAATGGAACTGAGAATATTTATTGTTCCACTTATACCAGTGTGTGACCAGAGTATTATCAGAAGAGCCTGTGGTCTCTGTTGTCTGAGCTGCATACTGTATCTGGACTGCAAGCAGGACAGACATACATTGTCTGTGGAGCAACAACACATAAAAGAAAAGTTGTCATGCACATTCAGCAGATGTTTCTAACCTCAATGCATAGTAATTTCTCCAGATGCTTGATTTTACTGCAGGTTCAAACAGAACATTTTTCTGTTTCAAAATATTTTTCATACCCTTCAACCTTTTAGATAAAGACTTGAAAGAATTACTGAGGCACAGGTTCAATTTTTTTTTTTCAATTCTTTGTGCACTGTCACAGACTCAACATAAACGTACAACAAAACAAGGATAGAGTAAAAATAATTATGTTGAGTGATTTAGAGAGTTATAAAGTGGCTAAATAAAAAGTTAAAAGTGACTTTAGTGACTAAGATTTTTGCAAGTTAACAGGTGATTGAAATGATTTGTAATTAAAGCTGCAATGTTTATGCCGTATTTCCAGCATGTTCTCAATCATACTGCACACAAGTCAACTTTAAGTCAAAGTTGAGTCCATCAGAAACAGAGTACAATTCAAAAGAGATGCAGAACACCTGTCCTGTATTTAAGATTCCATGTAGGTCAGCACCAAACAGCCTTTTTGTAAAAGTTTAAGTGTGTTGTGTTTACGCTCTTGTCTTTCCTGCCAACTTTTTGTTGAGTCACAGTCTTGACAGCATTACATGCAGGTGCTCTCTGAACTGAGAGCTGTAATTGATATCTAAATAAATGACTTAAAGCACGGTGTATAAAAACAACAAAAAAAACTAAATGTGAGCCCACATTGTCCCTGCCCTAATTATATCCTGTAAAGCTAACTTTTTTCTTCTGGCTCTCTGTAGCCTTCAATATCCTCTCCTCCAGATCATCTGATCTCACTTTTATGCAGAGAAAGACTGACATCCTGTTATGATGTATTTTAATGCATAATGATGTGAGGGAGAACTTTGGACGCTCGTCTTTAATCACAATTGGTTTGTGTACAGTGTGTATTTTTACCAGCGGCCTCCAACAAATGAGCCGATGACTGATGCGGCGAACAAAATGTATATTTTTAAACTGCTTGACTTTACTATGCACTCGCTGGAGACTGTGTTCCACAATAATATTGTGTTCTGATATTTTTGTTGCACTATACGTGGCCTGCAGGAACCCTCTCTTTTCCTTGAGGCTCTGAATTACAGCCAGTGGTGAAAATTGCAGAAAAATTATATATGGCATCTTGAAATTACATTATATTCACTACTGCTAGTCCATCCACAGCCATTTATCTATTTATAAACCCACAAAGGCTAACAGGCTGTAACAGCTGCACTAAGCTCAGCTCCTCTCCGCCGCTGCTGCTGCGTAGAGGTCTGTGTTCCTCATCTGTTCCACCGCTACCACATGGCACCACACACATACTACAGTACAGTATATGCTGTATAATTTATGACGTGAATAACATGGACAAAATGCAATCCCAATTGTTCCCAAAACATTCAACATTTAGAAGTAAAAGTTGAACATTTTTCACAATAATTGTGTAAAGATTATTTTGGGGGATCAAAAAATTTACATTTTAAACCTCACTGTAAAGATGAACTGCTCTTGCGCAAAACGTGAAGTAGAGGCTCATGGGAGAGAAGCACATCAGTCACTATTGAGTACAGCATAAACTCAGTTCTTCACAAAACACATATCTCACATCAAAGATACTGACAACATTCTCATCCAGTCCAGAGTATGGGTAAAAGACTCATACATTTTATTTTAGATTGTAAATTTACCAGGAAACACAACCCTGGGTGCAGTATCCATGCTGACCAGCAGGGGCTTCTTGTGGATTTCTTTTTTTTCAGCAACATTGATTTGAAATTTTAGTCACTGTCACTTATAATAATGAATATTTATCTTACACTGGAACTGGATCTACGGTTCACAGTGTCACCTTTTGATTTTATTGACTGTACTGTATTTACAACCAGCAGGACAAAAAAGTATTTGTCTGTGTTATGTAGTACATCTTCAGACCGTTTCTCTTCAGTGTAAGCACAAAAGAATAAAGCAACACAACAGTCAAAATGTCCGGAGTATAAAAAATATCCCTGTTACATCTTTGATTTGAATATTTCTGTACTCACGTGTGATTGATGTTCCTGAGCTGCTGCTTTAAACAGCCCACAGCTGCATCTCCGTCTCATTATTTACACCAGGAAAATAAATTATAAAACTAAATTTTTCTCTGTTTAAAAAAAAGGTATAAACTGACAGAAACTGTATAACATGTTGAACGTCGGCACAGCCTAAACCTACATACAGTACGTAGAGTGTAGCAGTGGGCTGTGTAGATTAGATGCAGGACAGTGCTCAATATCTGCCTGATACTTGAGAGTAATAACCATCAGAGTAAAGAGAGTCTTCATCTCGCAGTAGTTCAGTTTTTCCTGTTTGTTTTTATGATCTGTTCAGATCGAGGCACCGTGCCGCACTCTGCACCCCCCTGCTCAGTCTATATACTGATGATGATGTTCATGATGATGATGATGATGATGATGACATTCAGGAGGGTGTGATTGAAGGAACACTTTTATATGCTGCCATACCATTACCTAGTTTTACTATCTAATTTCCACGTCTCTAAAACTCCAGCGGCCTCCGCGTCTGCGCCCGTCTTTCTTTTTGTTATCAAATCTCCTCTCTCTACATCACTCCACCGCCCTCTCTCTTTTTATCTCTTCTCTTAACATCAACTCTCTCTCTCACGCGCACTATTTTCTCTCTCTTTCTCTCACAATTTCCACTCTCTCCTCTCAGCCCCCGTCTACCCCCCCCCCCCCTCCTCTATTTCTCTTTCTCTGCTGTTTTGATAGTGACGCAGTTATCAGGCTGTCAATTCTAATCTTGTCTTGCCAGTGCAGTGCTGTCCATTCAGAATTACAGCTGCCCCCTCCTCCTCTCCTCCACCTTTCATCTACAACCTTTTGCTCTCTCTCTCTCTCTCTCTCTCTCCAGCCCTGACAACAGAAATGCTGATGAGGTGAGTGAGCTAAAGCTGACACCATAGTTCAGTTTTGCTCGCAAACTACAAAACTGCAGCTGAAAAAAAAAATACTGTTTTGTTTAGCTTCTGCTGAGCCGATCAGGACATGATGATCTCACTGTACCTACACACCACCAGCCGGACAGTTTATTTATCTATTTATCAGATTTTTTAATTAGTTTATTTATTGTTTATTTTTTAAATTGTGCCATCATATTTAAAGTTACTCCCATGTAACTTTTGTTGATGTTGTTAAAGTCCTCGTCTTTGATTTTATTATGACTTTACTCTTCTTATATATTATATATTATAATCAGTCAGAAACAAGCCTTTATTGTCTGATTATTCTTTTATTAATTTCAGTGTTAATTTAAAAAAAAAATTATTTGGCCTTTTGCATTTATCATTAAATATGAATTGCACATTACGTCCTGAGCTCCTTTCACCTAAACATAGAATCAAACCTTTTAACACAAAGAGAGCTGAGAATTTTAGAAACTGCTAGAAGCTTTATTGTAAACACCAGAATCCAACAGTACTTCATTATAATTCAAACTAATTTGACTGAGAATCTTCCGTGCAATAAGAACGGATCAAAAATGTTTGAAAAAAAAGAAAGAAAATCCACACCGCTCTAGTGCATGAAGCAGTGTGATGAATAAGGGATGTGAGTCACTCTTTTCTCAGCTTACAACAGCTGTCATAGTCATTACTGTTCATTTCACCTGCACCAGAGAACAAAGGAAAATAAGCTTGGCATCAGTCACTGTACTGTAGCAGAGGTATACAACCTTTATAGAAGGCCAGATGATAAAAATACCAACTCCTGCTTTGTACCTGAAGAGTAATGTTGCTTTTATTTTAATTAAATCTACTCTGTTGTCATTAATATACTCTAATGAAATATATTCCCCTGGTGTTTGAAACATATTGCTAATGAAGGTGGCAGATTTTCTTAGGTATTTTTCTCGCAGACACAACAGAGAATAACAATGTTTTTGTAGTACATGCCACCGTTTACTGTAGTACAAACATAGACAAAAGATGAGAAATATTCCAAATACTTGCATATTACAAAAAAAAAAAAAGATTGCTCGCCATTAAATTTCTCCAGATCACCGTTTTCATATTTAAATACATTATTCTTACAACTGATGTTATTGAAACAAGTAAACAGTGCTAGGCTTTCACAAATTATTACTTCACTTTTTGGCTGTATATAGATTTTACAGTGTTCACTGTTAGTCAACCTAATACGTCTCTGCTCCTCGAAATAAACACAGCAGTCAACTTTTCTCTCAGTACTGTAGATGTTTGGTATACAAGTGCAACAGCCAGACAGTCTGTAGTTCATTTTTCTTTTTCGCTCTTTTTCATAGATCATTGACCTTATTAAGTGAAAGCAGTGACACTCAGACATGGTTGATGAAAAATGACACTTTGCAGGATTTTATTAGATACGACATAATGAACCTAAGTTTATGACATCCTTTAGTTGAGGACGCTACAGGCATTTTTCTATATTTTTTATTTTATTTTATTTATTTATTTTTGGCTGTTTTTAGAAAAACTGATCCAGATGGAAGAGGTTCATTTTGGAAAGGGAAGAAAAAAAAAGCTTTTTTTATTATTGTAAATATGCTCTCCTGTGGGATTCCTTTACAGTTTAATTCCCTCCATTAACCTCTCACTCTGTACGTATGCACAAAAACACGAATCACTCATAAACACCAGAAAAACCCACAGATATATTCTCCTTGTTCTCCTGGTTGTTGACGTGAGCTGTTATTTGTCATTACTCCTTCGTCTGTACGAATACATGAGAGTTTTCTTGGAGATTATTAAGCCTGTTGTTGTTGGGTTTTTTTCTGTTTTGTCATTCCATTTGCTCTACCTTCAGTTTATTTTATTTCCACTTCAAAGGCTCGGGTGGAACAGATGTCGTTTTCAATGTCTGTCTTCTGCCTCATTGCCTGAAAGTGAGGGATGATTATTTTTTAATGAAAGCAGGCGCAGTCACACTCAAAAATAATGAAAATTACCTGTAAGCTGTGAAAAAGACAACCAGTACTTTCACATTCAGCCCGAGTGGGAACATCCATTCCCTTTTTTCTGCTCGGCACAAAAGACATTTTGAAGTTTTTCTTCAGCTGCCAAATATGTGCTCCTGGACCTTGAATTTTGATTAGTTATTTTCATGCTGTGTAATGCACTGTGTTGACTGGCAGATTGGCTGCTCATAAAACAATGCATCCATCCAGAAGCAGTCATTTCCTGCTTTTCCAACTGGCAGTTTAAAGGGAAAATGAATTGCTCCTTAATCCCATGATGAGTGTGTACTAGATGGATAAATATTTCACCGAGAGACTTTTTGGAAAATACTAATTTCTAGGGCTGTCGAAATTAATGAGTTAATCACTTTAATTAATTTGTGCAGATTAATTAGATTGAAAAAAATTAACACATTGGCAGTTGTATGGGTATGTGTTATTTACACATTCTGCGGGGAAGCGTTTTTGTTTCTAGTAGTACCTGGAGCTTAAAATTTCCTCTCAGCAGCCGGCGCGTGTTAGTGGAGGCTTCAACTTCAGGTGACTTGTGTCAGAGCAGCCTCACCGAGCACAGGGCAGTAAGTAATGATGAAGTCACCTGACAGGTTGACTGACACAAATGCCAAATAGATTGAGAGGAACTGTAGGCTGATTAATATTGTTGATGACAACAGATTTAAAGAGGTTTTGAAAGCCCTGCCCACCAACTCTATGAACCTAAATCTTGAGTTATATTTTTGCACCTTTTAAATTTTTTTTTTTTTAATAATTCCATTATTTTGATAAGTTCCTTTTTTTCCATATTTGGAAATGCAGAGTGATCCGGATTACTCATGGTTAATCATCACGTGCATGATTAATCATGATTAATTGCAATTAACTCCCAGCTACCCTATGATTAATCATCATCATCAGATTAAAAATGAAGACGGTTCTTTGGCAGGTTTTTCCACTGAACCATTCGGAGCTGTTTAAATTTTCCAAAATAAATAAATAAAAATGCGACCTATAATGAAATACAAGTTCACTCTCATTTCACTCGAAGCCTGAAACAACATTTAGGTAACTCTCAACGGCAAATAGGAACATAAATACAACTACCTTCATTTCACATAATACCGACCTAAATCATCATATATTCAGAATGTCATTATCTCTTCCATTATATGGCTGGAAATTGGATAGTTTTATAACGGCCGAGAATCAGGTTAACTGATGTTCCACTGATACTAATGGGAACATCAAGCCATCACTTCGTCCTCACTGTTTGTTCTCAGCTGCACCTATTGCCTCCTCTCTCTCCTTATCTCTCTCCCCCACTCACTCCCTCACTCCTCTTTTCTCCTGCTCTTGCTTGCTGTGTTCTCTCCTCGGCGAAGCAGGCAGTAATTTCCATATAGAATCACAACCAGGATCAGGTGACCTGGATTTGACTCCCCGTCAAAGCCCTGCACAGAAAATGAAAATGTATTCATGTGTATTGGGTCCAGCGTGTTGCACAGATGTGAGCAGTTTTTGCCTCCTGAATTTGTACGTAGGCTGTTGTTGACAAGTCTGCCCTACGACCAACCTATGAGAAAATATAGAGATTTGATCGATGTGAGTTCTTTGTGATCTACTTGAAATGGAATACATAAACAGTGAAAAGAAAATCATTAAATGAGTCGGATCATGTGAATCCAAGTGAAACTGGGCGATATTAATGAGTTCGAGATTCTCTCCTGGCTGGTTCATGTTTGGTCAGTTTCTCACCCCACCCCACCCCCAGCCCCCACCACACAGACCTCAACTTTTCTCTGTAAATTGATCTGTTTTCTTTTCTAAGAACCAACCTCAGACGTTCTTCACTGAACTCTGCTGCTCTCTCTGTCGTTCTGTCAATGTTCCGTTCGCCTCACATGGTCACAGAACGTGTTGTTCATGCACCTACAATAATCCAATAAAAAAGGACAGTAATTCTGAGTCCCATTCTGGATCTGATGATCTCACCTCTCCACCTCTGTGTCTCTCTCCAGATAAGCAGTGAAAAGCGAGCCTCCGCAGAAATGATGAAGCCCAAACCCAAACCTCAGAAGAAGAAGAAGAAGAAGGACCCCAACGAGCCGCAGAAACCCGTGTCGGCTTACGCCCTCTTCTTCAGAGACACCCAGGCAGCCATCAAGGGCCAGAACCCCAACGCCACCTTTGGGGACGTCTCCAAGATTGTGGCCTCCATGTGGGATAGTCTAGGAGAGGAACAGAAGCAGGTATGAAATGTGATTGTCTTCACATATGAATATATTTACAGAGTACAATGTTTACTCTCTGTCTATTCTGGAGTCACCAACTTGAATTGTCAGAGCGACAGAATTTTTCTGTACAGAGACTCTTGTGTCCGGACTCAAATAAAATGAAATAAAAATTAGATTTCTGTCATTATTATTTGATATTTATTGGCCGGATAACATAGTGTGGTGGGACAGGTTTGGCCCATGGGCCACCAGTTTGTGATCACTGCTACTTACCATTGTGAGTAGAAGTAGAACACTTAGAAGCTGTGAATTATGAAAGAAGAAATACACAATACAATATAATTAGACTTTTATCACAGTTTTATCTCATAACGTTATATTTATTCAACTTTTCATCTCATCATTATTACTTTGTACAGTACGGCATCTCAAAATGTTGGCTTAATCAGCCTTTATTTACCCTTTTATGACTTTCCTATAAATGACTTTTATATAATAAATACTAATAAGCTTACAGTTTGAAATGTACTTTTGGTACTTTGGTCTATGTATTTTTCTTTTTTTTTTTTTTTTTTTACATTTTGACAAATTTTACAGACTGTCTGTAAGCAGGAATTCTTTACCAAATCAAACCAACATTATTTCCCAGACACCGTAGACTCACGCATTTAGAACACATTCACATTTTCTCAGCACCCTCGATGGCATTTGTGCTGCAGCAGGCACACAGCAATTCATTACCATTATATGCTGTGTAATTACCAGAACATTGCTGTGAGATAGAGCGCACCTTAATGAGCCAGTTCTTCTCTTTCTAAAGATAATCCACCCGTTTATCCCCCAATCCCCTGACTCTCATTAAAATGATTTTCTTTCTAAATTTAATTCTGGCAAAATGAAGGCTGGAGAGGGTGGGGGCAGCGATCTGTGTGACTACGGTCATAAAACCGTCTGAAAAAGACGAAGTTGGAAACAACAAGAAATGGTCAATGTGGATAAATATTGACAGACCTGTGGAGATTGGGTTGATACTCGACGTAGTGGGTAAAAATAGTCTCAATACTTGTACTACAAGAGAAGAGCAGTTGTAATGAAAACACAACAGACGTGTATTTCAATAAATACACACTGATCTGATGACTTTGTAGACAACTGTTTCAAATCATCTTTGCTTTTTAATAAAACCTTTACACTGAAAACTGAGGAAACTAATTGCAGTTTTGACCTTAGCTACTCATTAGGCCAGTGGTTCCCAAAGTGGGGGACGTGCATCCCAAGGGGGCGTTGAGCTATTTTAATCTTAGTGTTTATTTTAATATTTTATAAAATATTATTTTTTAAGTTTAAGTTAAAAAAAACAAAAAGTGGATTTTTTTTAACAATTTATTTAGGAAAGAACTTTTCTTGCCCGTGCTCCTACTGTATGGATACTTTATCAAACAAACATTTTTATGTTTTACCTAATTGACATGTTTTTGTTCTCGTCGGCAAAATACGCACACACACACACACACACACAGTCCATTTTCTATACACTGTATATGGCTCCCAGACTGGGGTGTACCTGGGTGCAAACACACTGACAAAGATGTGCATACACACACCGTATAAAAACCACAGCCATTATGCAGATGCCACGAGTTCATTCAAACACGGCAGCGGCTGCGACATTTACTGTAACTGTGCGACAACACAAGTTGGTGCATCACGGTAAAAATATGGAAGGCACTTTCAAACAAAAGTCATACACCGGCAGGGAGTGCATCCTAATGTGCCAAGTGACTGCAACCATCGTGCTGTATCTTTAATGTCAGTATGCTGATAGCAGTGTTATTGTGCAGCTACAAAAAGGAGGGGGAGAGAGGGAGAAGTTCCAGTTCATTTCTCAAGGTGGATTGGAATGGAAATGATGTGTTGCTACAATAGAGGGAGACACACTGAGATGAGAGAGTATTAGTGCTGTGATGAGGAAATAGAGGTGTTCTGTACCATTGGCTCTGATGGAAAGGGTAACATTAAGGACATGTGTGTGTCAGTGTGAGTGCACATGTGCGTGCAGGATGGGTTTAAGAAAGTGTTAGCGGGAGATATAAAAAAAAAAGTAAAGCATGCACGTGTGTGTGCGTGTGTGTCTGTCCATTTTTGAGTATGTCAACCTCTCCTTCCACACTAACCCTCTTGTTTTGATTTTTTTTTTTTCTCTCTACACAGGCATACAAGAGGAAAACTGAGGCAGCTAAGAAAGAGTACCTGAAAGCCCTGGCCGCGTACCGAGCCAGTCTGGTTTCCAAGGTAACGTTTACGACCTCCAGACTTTGGCAAAGACTGTTCCCAAACTGGATGGAAAATCCCTGCTAATGGTGTGGGTGGGACTTCCTTTGGGCAGGGTGGCTGTGATGGTGGCTGTGATGGTGGCTGTGATGGTGGCTGTGATGGTGGCTGTGATGGTGGCTGTGATGGTGGCGGCCATGTCTGGGACAGTAATGCCTTATTTACATAGGGTGCAGATGGGGGATGGAGTTGATAGTTGGGGGGTGGAGTTGATATGGTGATAGAGGGTCGGGGGAAGGGTCAACCAATCAGAACAAACAAGCATGTGACTTGTACACCTATGAGGGAAGGAGGGAGGGAGAGAGGGAGGGAGGCAGGGAGAGAGGAAGTGGTTTGCTCGTTCTGTCTAGACCTTAACATCAGGTTTGAGTTGGATTTATATGCAATCTGAGAAAAGGTGGGGATGAGAAAGATCGCCTCACATCAGGAACACCTGTGTCATGTAATAGATCATCACTTTCCTCAATCTCTTCATCTGCAACAGGAAGTATATTCATATCAAGCCAACCAATCATTGGCGTTGCTGCCGTTTCCACTGCTGACACCTTCCTGCTAATTCAGATCCATGACATCCCCCTTCTTTCCCCCCTGTGGTAAATGTCGTCTTGTATAGGACAGCAGAGCGGCGTGTGGAATACAGACAGACAGAGGAGGAGGGCTGTGGATTGCATTGTTTAGTGCCGTCTTATATTAACGACACACAATGTAGTGCAGGGAAGATTCCTTTTGTCATTCCATTTGTTCTGCAGGCAAACAGACGGAGGGATCTGCCTGTGCGTGTGCGTGTGTGCGTGAGTGTGTGTGTGTAGGTGTGTGTGTTTGGATGTGTGTGTGTTTTCCCGAGTGTGTGTGTGTAGGTGTGTGTGTTTTCCACTCTTTTCTCATCTATCTGTCAAGGTGTCTATTGATCATTACCTCGGCCTCTGCTCTATTCATACAAATGGGCTCCATTACCTTCTAATCAACACTGATGGCTGAAGATGAACAATCTGACAGCTCATCATAGAAAACTATGCATTGGGTGGGGCAGGTTGGAGGGGGAGAAGGTGGGATTTTTTGGGTTGCTGCACCTGCGCATAGTTAAGAATTGGTTTCCACAAAGAGAAGAAGTTGAGTTTTCTTGGTGTTTTCCTCTGGAGCACTTGCAGAGCTCTCCAGGACTACTCACAGGTTAAGAAGTGTAAGATGAATATGAAACACTGTCAGGTTTAAGTAGATTGAACTGGAATAAATCAGAGCTAATTGAATTGAAAAGACAGGCTGATGGAGCGTCAGGGTGTCGGTTTTCTTGTTGAACTACACATCAAGAAACAAGAGGATGACAGAGCACAAGAAAGAAATAAAGATAAATTAGGCTTGAAGATAAATTCAGTGGGGAGAATATTTTTATTAGCAGTATTATTACTTTTTATTATTAAAACCAAGCTTAACCTTTCCATGTACTTATCCTGAAAATGTACTAACTCAGATCAAGAAAAGGTTTCTCAAAAGTAATTTTGGGAAAAGCGCTTATAGAAATTTCCTAGCAGGAAGTGCTGAAAACACATTTCATAAGTTGAACCGACAGTTGAACCGATCGTTCCATCAATTTTAATCATTGGCAAGGGCAAAAGCTTTTTCAAAAGAACCTGTAAAACATTTAGCTGTTGTGACTACCGTGTACTACTATATAGTAATACTCACACATTTAAGCTAGCAGTTAATTACTCTAGCACAGGTAGTATTTTGTTCTTTTGGAGTTTTGACTCCAGCTGAAATTTTTAAATTGCATTACTGCCCCCTACTGGGTCTATTTTCCACTGGTTAAAAATACTTCACTTTGAAGATCACTTTGCAGAGGCAGATGGTAGTCTCTCACCTGTATATTTTACAAAAAATATAATAATATACTTTAGGGACATCTCTGGGTTAATGGTTTTATTGTTATGAAAATTCCTTCAAAGATAAGGAACCAAAATAATAGAAAGTGTTTTCTTTAAAAAAATGTAACAACGTATTTTAATTCACAGACATACAACGACCCTGAACCAAAAAGTGCCCAGCAGACTAGCCAGTCCTCCCACCTGCTTCCTCCGAAGCAGCCACTGTACAGCGTGCCCCCCCAGCCCTCCTCTCCATACCTGGGCCCACCTGGCTCCTTCCCTCTCTCAGACCTCCAAAGCTACGCTGGGCCGCCCCGTCACAGTCTGGCTCAGACCCTCAGCCAGTCTCAGATGCTGCCACCCAGCATGAGTGCCTCTCCCCCGGCTCCTTTCCAGATCAGCCCACCTCTGCACCCTCATGCCCAGCTCTCCCTGCACCAGAGCTCCCTGCTCAACCAGCCAATCCACATGCAGCAGTCACAGCCAATCATCTCACACCAAATGGGTCTCCAGGCGCCTCTGCACTCCCCTCCTCTCAGCCAACAGGTTGGTGTATTCATTGTTAAATTTGGCACAAGCGTCTTTTAAGGTGTAAATTGTAAACTGCTTGTATTCAAATCTTATTCAGCAATTATTGGTTTTTGTTTATTTATGAACACACTGTTTTATTTCATTTTCTCACTTTAACAATTGAATAAAATATTTTTTTCTCACAGCAAGACGACATAAACCTTGTTCTCCATTTTTCCCTTTTTGGGACATTATCATTATAAACATTATCATTATCTGCCTTTTACAGTTTATTGTCTTCAGTCCAGCAGTGGGTGATATCGTAGTGTGAATGGAGTTATATGAAAATCTTTAAACCATCCATTTTGCAGTAAATGGATTAAAAAAAAAGGGAGGACCCCATGGTGGATGCTCCTTGTTTACCTAATCCTGATACTGGAGTCTGTTATCAGATTTTACACTAGAGGATTAGAGTGACTTGCCTTTTGCATAAATAATTTAATTAGTAAATAGGCAAGTACAAGAAAAAAACTTTAAATGATCTTCTGTTCTCTGCCTGGTCCCACAGGGATTCTCCCACATCCAGGCTGATTATCAGAACAGTGTCGGGAGCTCACAGTCTCCAGGGGCTCCTAACCCGGTTCATGGCCAGAACCCTGAATGGGACAGTGAGTACTGCAACAGGGACTGTGGACCCAACCACTGCAGGTGAGTTTGCCTCACCCATCACCGTCATCAGTGCAGCGGGTGTTGATTTATGACAGACGTGAAAAAGACGCTAAAGAACAAATTTCACGTTTGTCAGATTCTCTTCACTTTCATACTCTCAGATGTTATTAATTAGAAGCTGTACATTTCCTGCTAAAGCAGAGCACCTCCTCAGTATTGAGGGGAGTAATGCAGTGGTAAAACAATGCTATTATCAGGCTTATATAAAGTGTGACATCCAATTAAGTTTCTCTGCCTTTTTGCTCAGCACACTTTATTGTGCTTTATTGTGTCAGGCTGCTCGGGCGGGTACAGGAGGAATGTTGTTCAATTTCACACATGCACTGGAAGCTAAGTGTTGCTATTCTGAGGGCTAGCGACCCTCAAAGTGGGTATCTGTTTTATTTAAAGCTGATTCATCGGTCTGTCAGATGGAATCGAGCCTGGGTCAAATCATGTTTGACGCCCTTTGAAGTCGACTTAGCCTTTGCTTAAACATTCCCCCTCAGTGTCACATTATGGTAGTCTCAGGGTTCGGAGGCTACTGAATTGATTCTAGTGTGTCAGTAAAGATCACACAAGATCAGAGTTTGTCTCTGACTTCTGAAGCACTAGTGATCTACAAATGACGATATTTGGAGTCAGTTTAAATTCAAATTGGCTTTTGTTTCTCCCAAGTATTCTAACTGTTTGCTGTGGAGCTCCTTCCTGAGATTTGTCTTCCTTGAACATTGACATATGGACTTCTGTGCTCAGAGCTACAGCTTTATGTTGTGAAGTGTGTAGCCTGCATTACAATTACTAAATATAACTGATGTATTTTAATGTGAACTATATAATAATTTAAAAGCTGATTTGTTGTTTTTCTCCATAACTAGATCTAGCTATAAAGTTCTGTAGAGTTTCTGACTGCAATCATCTGCGTATATCATGACCTGTCATTGGTGCTAGCTTCAGGCATGGTGATTCTGTGATTAGCATGAGCACCTGCAAGTTAGCCACTTAGCTTTTAAATAATTAGCTAATGAGTTGAAGGTGTGAAGTCCAAGTATTTGCCAAACTTTATTGATAAATTTGTGCATTACACCTTGTGATATAATATGAATATTTTTCCTGACATACAGGAACATGTAACTTTTACACTTTCAGACTACTTTACTACGATTATGCTTCAAATGAGCTATAGTAGCGAGACGATGTAGAACTTTGAAGCCAGAGTTTCACTACATCCTTAGTGGTTTGTGATGTCCCTTAACATGGCAGAATTTCATGGGAATACTGTGTGGGGTGGGGTGTTAGCCTGGGGTTTGGATTGAACCATTGAGTTCACAGACAGAGGCACACACCATTTACTAAAGTATAACTTGATATCAAGTGATGGGGCCGCATGAAATTGATTGGCGTCTGACCCGCAGGCTGCTACTTAAAGACTTCTGCTTTGAAGGATAAACAGGAAGTTGTGCATTGAGAGGGAATGCTGTTGTATATTTATATTTTTCAGAAAGCGCAGTAATACTAATTACTAGTAATGTTGTTTCCACTTCAGCAGTGGAATGGGAGCCCGGGACAAGCCTCTCTACCTCACTTGAAGTTGAAAGACCTCCAAATGTCAGACTCCTGGGAGCTTACCAACATTACAACAATGTCATCGATGTATCTATTTTTCTTTTCTGATGGATTTTGAAAATCCCAAAGACTGCAACAGTAACTTCACCTTTTTGCCAAGCACTTAGATCGGCCAGAAGCCTGAGGCATTTCTCTGGCTTTTTTTCTTCTTCTCTTTATCAGTGAACTTTCCATTTTATTTGCGGGGCAAAGAGCTTTGAGCTCCTGCCAGCATACTGGAAATGAAGACCAAAAAAAATAAGTCTTCTCATCTCATTTAAAATTTTTTAAAGATGTTTTCTTTCCTCCACACTCCATTACTCCGTGTTTGTCATGGACTGCCCTCATTGGGGAGATGAAATGCTCCAAGCGTACTCTAACCGTGGGGGTCTTCAGTAAAAAGCTAATGCCGGAAACTAGGATATAGTCACAACACCGGGGGAAAGACAGACTGAGACACCCTGGCTGAATAAAAGCAAAGCAATGTTTCATTAAAGATAGTCACAAACACGTACAACATTTGTAAATCATCCGTGCTCCAGTTAAGGATTTTCTCATTTTCCCTTATTTGTCACAGAGTGATTGTAAATATCACCCAAATGGATCCCTCATATGTGTGTATCTAGCTGAAGTCCCTTGCTTCCTTATTTTTTCGACATCCTTTCTTTGTTTGGTTCTGTGATTTCCAGTGCAGGTGGACTCAGTGAGGGCATACACACACTAAAACTTGTGTTTAAACTATGTTCACTGGTCTGGTTTCTCTCCTCCGATGATGGAGAAGTGCAGAGACGTAAAAAGCTCCATCTCCCTCCCGAGTGATGGGAGAACGAGGGCGTTGCTCTCTACACACGGCCGTTCACAGGACGTTATGAAAATTTGAAGAGGTCAAAGGTTGAAACCTCTCCTTTAAGCCCCTCCTCCTTCTCCCCCTCCACCTTCTGGTCAGGAAGGACCCTCCTTTCCACCTGTAACCCCAACCCACAATCCTTTTAGTCCTGGCACCACTTGTACAGGTGAATTAAAAAAAAAAGTTGCTAAATGTGAAATGTTACTAAAGAAAAAAAAACATAACAGTGGGTTTTAAAATTTTTGACTAGTTTTATTAGATGTTTTAGAATTGTGTTGAACTCATCTTTATCATTTTTTGTGAGAAAAAAAATTTAATATTTTGTTTTTCACTGTAGCAGGATTTTGCTTTTTGAAAGGATGGTCATGGGGTCGATATTATTATTATTATTATTATTATTATTATTATTATTAGTTTCTTTGTGTACAAACCTGCTAAATGTACTTCTTTGATTTGTGAAACCAGTGATGAAAAAAACTTATTATTAATATCATATTGTGTATTTTACAATATGGTCATTCTATTTAATTCGGTTGCAGGTTTGATTTCTATTTAATAAATGATATGAAGTAACAATTTGGCTTATTTTCATCAGGGTGAATTATTATAATTATGACTATTATTAATATTATTACTGCTACAACAACATGACTATTACAATAATACATATTTTTTTCAGAATTTGTCGTTGGCACACTTACTGTGGGTCGGCATTAGATTCATTATGTGTCACAAATATTCTTTTGTTTTCTTTTGTCTGTAATAAAATGTTTAAAGTTAAGAAGTGGACACAAACGTCTGGACTTATTTGAATTGTCACAAAGTGTTTCACATGAGTGACTCACAACATGTGCTGTCAACCACATACTGTACACATACACAAATGTAAGTACTCCCCACAGATGGACAATCCTCATCACAAAGGTTTTAAAAGGAGGTTCTGTCACAATTAGAATTGGTACTGCTTTTAAAATACTGTTGGGCATCAGTACCAGAAAGTGTTCTTTAAATACAAAGCCCTTTATTTATAGACTGTAAAAGAAACACTCTTTTTCTAGGCAAAATGACAAAGAGTTCCATGAACTAAATTATACATTTTGTTTCTCTACAGGTATACCACAACACAACCCAAAAGTGTCCATCAGTTCACAGCTGCTTTTTTACTCACTTGCTGTGTTTGGTGGTAAAGGTGTGATGATAAAACTCAGTTGATCTAGTTGATGCACACAGTGAAATACCTGATTAGAAAAAAAAGCAGTAGCAGCCTTTTACTTGCGAATTTCACAGTTGGATTAAAGGTAGAAATGAAATGGAATTCATTTTCTCTCCCCCTCCCTTCACATATCTCTTTCTCTCTTTCTTTCCATTTCCCCTCTCTCTCTACTTTTCGCTCTCCATGCTTATGATGATGACGCAGTGCCCCCTAGAGCCCATTCATAAAACGTACCACAACGCTTTCTAGTTTCCCCCTACTGCGCTACAATGGTTTGTATTACGGTTGCCCACGATTTTATTAAACTCATTTTCCTGCAACTTAATAAGTGCAAACAAGCCTGGAAATATACATTGATGTTTTCCTTATTTAAAGAATGGGGCATAAAATGTACATTAGTAGTCGGCCTTCTCTTATATACCTTCCATTGTTTATTCTTTGCTGTAGTTGAATACGTGTATATTTAAACACTTAAAGGCAAGAAGTCTATAATTATATTTTTGTGATATGTGTGTGACAGCGCTGTTGCAGTGAACCCCTCTACCTTCGACCCGCTCTGTTTCCGTATTTCCTGTCGTCTATCTTCTGTCGCCATCTGCTGGTTGTATTAGGTACGTTTCATGTTGACGAATTAAATAATTCAAGGATTCTGTTTGTCTCACCATTTAAGTTGTTGCATTTCGTGGTGCGAAAATACGTGTCTAGGGTCATTGAAATCAATAATGAATACGTTATGCAAGAGAAATGTCAATAAAGTCAGCACAGTAGAACCTTAACATCAGAATGTGGGACTCTGTTCTAAGAGAGCGTTATACATCTCTTAGAAGAGAGTCCCACAGTCTGATGTTAAGGTACCTGATTGCTTTGCACAGAGATAAACAAATACTATGCTTGTTAAGTGGGACAGTTTTTTTATGCTCAAGGCCCTATTACATTTGTATATAGTGAAACCTGACAGCTGACAGATGTGCAGTTTGCATTTCTGCAAAAATGAACACATTTCTTTTTAAAAAATTACCAAAAGATCAAATAATTTTTGATCATCTGATCATCGGAAAGTAAATTGATGGGAGACATGGAGGCATGACAAAATTTGGAAAAAACATTTCAACATCTCAAAAATTTTTCAAATTTGATAAAAAAGATATAGACGGTTAAAATTTTGATAAAAATCTGAACCTTTTCATCATAATTGTTCATTAAATGACAAAATTGACATGCTAAAACTGAAATTTACCAAAAAAATTTAAAAAAAAGGATTTCTCAAAATGCTAAATTGATGAGAAACATGCAGAAAAGATACATTTTTAATTTTTTTTCCAAACAGTTTCATTAAAACAATTTTCATAAAAATATTCATATAAAATACTTTTT